TTTGCTATGGCAATAGAGAGAAGGAGAAATACAAGACTAAAACAAACAGGAAGTTAAGTATTTCTCTCCCAGAAATTTTAACATCAGAAACCAGTTAATGAGCAGTTAAATTACAACTTACAAAAAAACATGACAGAGGAAAGTAATGCTTACTCATTTGTTTCTTCTACTTAAATCATTTTTGCTGATCCAACTCAGTAGTCAAAGTAGCTTACATTTAAATTTTACAAAAACAGATAAAAACAAATTGATAAAAACACAAACAGATCACTAACGTTTGAAGACAGAAAGATGCAACTACAATAAGTGATGACTCTTGCAACTTAAATGGGACTTTTTAAAAGGATCTGTTGAATTAAACAAAGGCAAGGAGATTGTATTACTGCCTCCCCAAACAACTGAAAACAGCATAGTATTTTGTGTTCAAGCTCCCCCTAGGGGAGCTGAAAATTATTACATGTCTCCAGAGCATCCTACTGAAAAATTCATTACAAATGAGACAAACCATTGTTCTCTTTTTTCTACCGATATATCAGAGACAATTTGCACAAAAAGATACATGGTGATATCTCAGCTCTTGATGAACTGAATGAAAAATGAATGAAAAAAAAAAAGAATGAAAACACCGATCTAACCAAAAAACACAACTTTTGAGATGATGAGGTTTATTTTTAATCTGCCACAACTCATTCACATATACTGTGTATGTGTAAGAGGGCCCCAATACCCCCAAATCTATGCAGAGCTCTTTGGAGCCATCTGGTCTCACAAGGCTAAGCAGGGCCAGACCTGATTAATACTTAGAACATCACCAGGAAATCTAAGGATCTATGCGAGACAGGAAAGTTGAAAAACATTCTGGAAGAATGGTAAACCACTTATCATTTCCATACTTTTTTTTTTTTTTAGTGCCTTCGAGTCAGTGTTGACTCCTGGTGATTGCCTGGACAAAGTCCCTGTAGTTTTCTTGGCAAGATTTTGGAAGTGGTTTTCCATTGCCTCCTTCCTAAGGGCTGAGAGAAAGTGACTGGCCCAAGGTCACCCAGATGGCTTTGTGCCTAAAGTGGGACTAGAACTCCCAGTTTCCAGCCTGTTGCCTTACCCACTACACCAAACTGGCTCCATACTACAGCTCAAAAAACTATGTGGACATGTCTGTGAGGTCACCAAGAGTCAAGCATGACTCAAAGGAGACATTCATTTAGAAATGAGTTTCTGATATCCATATTGAATGTATTTGTTTCTTTTTTTAATTTTAACACACACACATTTTGAATTAAAAACAACTTGGGGAAAAACAAGAGAGACAGAGAAAACAATTATACACTAGCAAAAATTATATGCATAGTTTATAATCTTTTGGAGAAATACATATTTTTAAATATTCATGTTCAATATTTCTATCCTAGGAGACATTGTATAGATGGAGACAATGTAGTAGGAGTTATTTTGTTGATATAAGTAAAAATGATGACCAAATATGAATAAAATGATTTTTAATTAAAGGGATCTTCAAGAATTTTTGCTGCTGTTTATCTTTCAGCCATGGTTATTTTCCACATTTAAACATCACTGATCAAAAGAAACACGTAGTTTAGTTTTCCAGTGTTTACTATGGTTAATCTGGCAGACAAAAACCAACATTTAAATTAATTTCATGTATTCCATGATTTTATATGTTCTGGGAAAAATGGGTCATAAAGAAACATTATTATTAATTATTAAAGACCGTTATGCAACATTTTCTATTTCTTCCTAAATTTCAAAACCAAATGAGTATGTAAATAGACACAGCCACCAGGAACATTCACCATTATAATCCCTCCAGCATCATTTACTAAGCCTTTGATTAATACAATGCAATTTTACATGAATTTCAGATAAACTATACATTATTTTTGTAGCCAATTCTTGTTTTATAGGCAATCCACTTGCTTCAAGCACACTGGTCAATTGAGATAATTAAAGAATTCAATTTTTAGAAATTCCACTTTGTAAAGAATGGACTAATATGCAGATGATGGCTTAGCAATGCCTTATATTTTGTATTTCCCTGAATTCTTCACTGCAGCTTTCCGCAGTCTGAACACATTAAAATATGCATTTGCATTCATATTTGAATATATGTTTGGAGATGGTTGCTAAACTGTAAGTGATGATTATGATGAAATTGATGATGATATCTCAAGTTGCATAGAACTGTACATAGAACTACAATCAGAAAAAGACTGATTTGCTCTTTATGCTGGGATTATCAACTTCATACATGCTATAACCCCATTAGCTATTTAATGTGTGGTGACACCATGAGAAGAGGTGTCCTCTAACCAAGTGCATCTCATCCAGCCTAGGTGTAACCCTCTGCAATGTTTTCTTGCATTTCTTGAAGTAGGACCAAGAGAAGTAGCTGCTTGGGCTCTGTTACTGATACCTGCCCTAAACCCCCCATTTGGATTACTGGGATTGCAAGCTGCCATTTTGAATTTCCCAGGAGCAAATTTAAGTCAGTTGCATTATGGGGAGTTTTAACTGGCTGGTCTGAGAAAGAGACCCAGGCCTTTGGGCCAGAATTAGCAGAGTCCCCATTTTTAGGAATTGTACTAAATTTACTTCAGCTGCATTGGCCATTCATTGTCTATTGGATTTTAATGACATGTGTTGGGTTTTTTTGAATTTGTTTTTGACCCACCCTCCCTCCCTCCCTCCCTTCCTTCCTTCCTTCCTTCCTTCCTTCCTTCCTTCCTTCCTTCCTTCCTTGGAGGCCAAATAAATGCAATAAATAAATACTTTAGTGCCCCACCAAAGCAACCTTTCTTCAAGTCCTCTCAGCTCTGGAGCCAGTCAGAGAATTTAGACACTTGTGGCTTTGTCACATCTCAAGGTACATTGCTAAGGAAAGCTACACTATATGGATTGGGACTTAGAATCTGAAGAGATCCCCTTCTGGCATATGAACTTGCCTATTGATAAAGTCATCAGCTGAGCTTCTTCTCTAATGGCAAAGGTAAGTGAAGTAGATGTGACCAGGAATCCAAAAAAAGCTTTCCCCAAAAATAATTTCCCTAGGAAGACTTTCTAGGTGTCAGACAATGATTCTGGGAGGCACCCACCAAAGATTTTATTACCAGATCTTTTAAAATATTAAATAGAAGTATTGTTGTCTTGCTACGTTATTGTTTGTTTTTCCATTCCTGCCTGTCCCAAAGATCTGGTTTATAGAATGCATTTTGCATTATTTAAAATTATTGCCTTTAATCTGGAAAGGTGCTTTGCTTGCATTTCCTTCTAGAGCATATCTACCAGAGCAGTCATTGTCACAGAATCTGGGGACTAAAAAGGAGAGAGTAAGCGATGTCTGGTGCATTATGCAAAAATGACACATGAACCCTAATAGGATTTTCCAATTCAGCTTTGCTCATGATTTGAACCAACGGAATGGATGTATAGCTTATGCAGTGTCTCCTTTCTTGTGATTTCATAGACTTATTGTCTTCCACTTCATTTTTTAAATTGCATCAAGATAAAGAAAACATTGTTCATTTGCACTGCTGTACTGCCATTGTGTTTATTTTTTACTGGGTAGGTTTTATATATTTTTCCTGAGTAAGCCTCCGAGAGTCATTTTGATTGTGGTGGCATAGAAATATGTTTAGTAAATAAATAAATACCCCTGGGAGAACAGGTCTCAGGTCTCTTTATGAATCAAAGCCTTTAAAAAGATATAGAAAATAGGCAAGTTTGCGAATCTTCTACCTGTATATTTCACTTTTACACCAAAATAGTTTTGTTTTTAGAAACCCTGGTCCCAAAGTAACTCATTTGAGTCACTAAGAGCATACTTATCTATCTTACTACACTTCAGAGTAGTAGTAAACAAAGGATACACACTGTGACCAAAAGCAGCTCTCCATGTCTTAGGAACGTATTATCTGATGAGCCTGTGTTAACTAGCTGTGCAAGTAATATAAACTGGGAAACTCTGCATGCAAAACACAGGCTCTGCTACTGAATAGAAAACCCTTCTAAATATTCCTCCCAATTTGGAAATAGGCACTGCAGGGAGTCAAGCAGAGGCACACCATGGAGTTTCCTCTGCATTTAGGAATGATTTAAAAAAGGAATACACTTTAGGTCAGTGGTAGAACACCATGAAGAAGCAATCTGAATTGGTTTTTTCCAGGATGTTTTTTACATCTCCCCAATCTAGTCTATAGGCCTGGTATTTCTAGCAGGTTTCAGCTCAAAGCATTAAGCAGATCTGACCCTGCTTAGCTTTTTGAGACTACTAGAGAAGTACAGTGAACTTACCAAAATTCTCAGAAGATAGAGTAGGAAAGAGCACCCTGCTTCTCCACCTTCAAACGAGGTACATGTGGCTTCAGAGGAAACATGGAAGGCAGGAGGAAGAAGCTAGAAGCACTGAAGGTTTGGAAGGTGGACTACATCAGAAATTTAACTCCTGCTTACTTTTAGTGATAGCCAATAAGAATTTCAATTCCTAGTGCCTTTTTTTTTTTTGGAGAACCATGAAATCCTATGAAACTCACGTGCAACTTCCAGATGCATAAAGCTTCACCTTTATATATGACACATGTTCTCTTCCAAAGAGCTATGGCACCCACTGGTAAAACAATGGCTCCTGAATTTGAAATTTCAGCAGATGGGGATCTACATATTAGTATTTTATTTGCTTCCTGGCTTTTATTCTCAAACTGGGTCCTTAAGATGAGCATGTCTCATCCCCCCAAAAAGGTCATTAAAATTATTTTTTAAATCACAGAATGACTCCCTCATTGCAAATTTTCTGTTCATCATTCCTTTAAATAATGTCACATCACACACTGTTTATTTCTTCCTCTCCTCAAACTGCTCCAGGGAATAACATCCATTTTATCAAACTGAGCCCCCATATTAAATAAGTTACTCATATATGGCATTAGAAGTTAAACATGTGCACATCTATTCTAAAATGAAATAGGTCTGATATTGTCATACTTTACCAGTTATGTCATGCTGTTTGAATGACTCACTGTAGATTTGATACTGATTGGGGCAATGTTTCTTCAACCACTTGCATACATCTTGTTGTGTCCAAAGGGCGACCGGTTTTGTCAGCTTCACAATATGAAACTGGAAACATAGAACAAGAAGTTAAACAGAAGTTAAACCAGTGATGTTTCTTTGCATGTCCATATACATTTTGTGCACCACCACAAGCCAGGAGCTAAATTTTCTACTTTGCACAAAAAGGTCAATAATGAAGGGACTATGATTAATCTGATAGTTCTTCATGTGGCTAGCAATTATTAAACCATGGATATCAGAGATATGTCAGACTCTGAAGGCAGGTGAGAAAATCTCAAAAATGCAGTTCAAGTAACAATTTTGGGTGATCAGCAAACATCTCAGACTCATCTCCACTGAGCCTCTTTAAGCTGCAAAGGAAACGCTGGATTCCTTTGGGAAGCTAATCTCAGTGATGTTAATAGTTGTCTTCTCATCCAAGAGTCCTTGGCAATAAAAGCTTTGGGGGATGCCTGTCCATCAGACCCTCTCTGGGTTCTAGAACCTCCAGGTCCCTACATGCATGGATCTAGAATAACAGTTGCACCCATCTGCTTCATGGCACCTGGCAGAATTTGGGGGAGGGGGTCCTTGAGGAAAAGAAGCAGATTGCACTGGGGGTTTTGCCTTTCCGAAACTGGCAAGTAATGGCCTAATAGCCCTGCTTTTGTGAAATATTGCTACTGGGACTGCCATATCACTAAAGCAATCTTAGCTGACTAATTGGATGAGTTTTAATTCATTGGGCAACTGATTAAAGGCAGCATAATTCTGTATAGGAAACTACTGTTGAAAGGAAAAGAAGTGTGCGCGCACACGCTCTCTCTCTCTCTCTCTCTCTGCTTTGATGAAGCATCTGCACACCACAGTAAGTACCCAACTGAAAAGGTGGCAGAACCTTCCTGCTGAGAAAAAAAGGGGGGGAGAAATGCTCCCTTCTCAGACGCAATTGCTATCTGCAGTTTTCAGTGATCCTACCATTTGAGGTGAGCCAGGCAGTGGTAGAGTAGGCAATACAGGGCTGTTTAAATGAATATTCTGACCCCATAGCAAGGCAGTTTCCTTTGTTCCTGACTCAGCAGGAACATGAGTAAATGACAAATGGGTGTAGAAAACTTGCCTGGAAAGCACAGAGTAAAATCATCAGGGCACAATAATGAAGCAAGAGTAGGGCAACAGAGAGAAAAAACAATGAAAAAAAACTATGAGAAGTTGCAGAACCATAGATTTAAGAAAGAAAGGTTAAAAGCTTTAGGAAGCTGGTGGGGATGGGTGGTTAGGGAGGAATAAGACGTAAAGGATGATCCTTTGTTCCTTTATTCCTTTCTTGGTTGTCTTCTGTTTTTGAGGGATTGAGGAGCAGAAACGGTGGCAGTGTGGAAGTTCCCAAAGCTATAAATTAGAGAAGGAATGAGAATTGTGCCATAGTTTTTCCCCAGTCCTGGGTCAAGGGTCAAGAAATCTTCTCAACCACATTGGAATACACATCAAGCACTGTATGGGTGAAAAACAGTAAGCAAAATTCTGATCACAGTATCATAAATTGTTGAGCTCAAAGGGAACTTAGAAGTCACGCTTAGTGCAGGATCCACTGGAGCATCTCTGACAAATGACCATTCAGCCTCTTTTTGAAGATCTCCAGGGAAGAAGAACTCACTATGTCATATGACAGCCTGTTCCACTGGCTGACAGCTCACACAGGAAGTTCTTCCTAATGTTTAGCCTAAGCCAACTTCCATGTAATTTTAACTCATGGGATTTGGTTCTGCCCTCAACAGAAAATAAATCCAATCTTCTGTGTGACACCCTTTAGATACCTGATGACTGATAAGTTGTCCTTTCTGTAGGCCAAACATACTCAGATCCTTTAACCATTCCTCGTACAGCCCTACAGTTTCCAGACCCTTCGCCATCTTGGTAGCCCTCTTTAGAACTTGCCCCAATTTTTCACTCTCCTTTTTTGAACTGTGGTGCACAGAACTGGACAGAGTATTTCAGTGGACAGTGGACAGAGGAACAATTGCTTCCTGTGATCTGGACATTTCCTGTAATGCACCCCAAAATAGCATTTATCGTTTTAGCAGCTGTATCACACTGCTGGCTCATGTTTAACTTGTGATTGACAAGGATACCCAGATGAATCTTTTTCACACATACTATCACCAAGCCAAATCTCTCCCCATCCTATACTTGTGCCTTTAATTTTTCCTTCACAGACACAGAACTTTACATTTATCTCCATTAAATTCCACATTATTCATTTCAGCAAATTTATCACATCTTGACTAAAATACAGGCTTCTGGTTGCTAATTTATCCTTTACTACCAGAATCTACTGAATAGGTACACAACTTATAATATGCATATACACTCCAAATATCCCAGAAAAATGTTATGGGATTCTCAGAAGTCACATACAATGTGAGTTTTTAAGAAATAAATCAATAAACACTAAAAACTGCACATCAACTAATGTGAATTAATAAGAAATTATAGGATATATTAATGTCCTCCCACAAAATTAATCTCTTTGGGGGCAGGGGGACTTCTGGCGCATTCCCCAAATCCCTGTATCTTTTAAGTAATTAAATCCTCTGCTTATCCATGTCTCCATCCTCAGTGATGTCCATGTATTTCTTTTAGACTGTAAAGCGCTTGGGAGAAGGACCCAGCATAGCTGTTTTTGGTAAAGCACTATGATAGTTTTATTTGTTAATATTATAACCCACCTTGTTATTATTTCTGTCCCTAGGATAACCCAGCAAATAATTATAAATTAAAATATCACATCATTATTTATTTAGTAACCTGAAAAGTATATTGGGGTGACCTAGATGTCAGCCTTCAAGACAGTCCAGACAGGAAACCAAAAGCATGAGTACTAACACTACTTTTATTGTAAGGTTACAGTAGCAACATCTTGCATGTCTGAAAGCGCTTCTCCCCTCCTTTTCCTCTACTTTCCGGAGAACTACGCAGGGTCCCTTCTAAGATGCTTTCTCCACCCCCATTCCTTTTGTGGGCTGAGACATCTCTTGTCAGGCCATTGCCTAGGCTGCGGCTCTTCTTCCTGTTTTCCAAGGTTATTCTCACGGCCCATTACATCAGATTAGGAATTAATGAGAAGTAAATTGAGAAATAAATTGTCGGAATACTGAGAAATTATTTAGATGAGGCATCAATTGACTGCTTTTTGCCAAACTCCAACAATTATTTCTGAAGTGCCATCTATACATACAAATTAGCATGTGTACTGTTTATGCAAATTTGTGTTCTCACTCTCTGTGTGTATGCATTATGCATTCTCTCTCTCTCTCTCTCTCTCTCTCTCAATGCTTCATTGACCAACCTAGTCCCAGATCATCTTAGTAAGTGACAGTTCCTAGCCAGTCTTGGTTGATCTTGAGAAGATGAGCAGAGTCACATCTGGTTAATACTAAGAATGAAGACTTCCCAAAAATCTGGGGGCTGTAGGCTTGACTGGGAAGTCAAGAAAACATTCCTAAAGAAAGCAATTGCAACCCCTTTTTGTACTGTTGCCACTGAGTATCTGAGAAACTTCTTCTGAGTCTGGCAGCCTGGCTAAGGCATTTAAAGTTGGAGATTGGAGATTTACAGCCAAGTGCTGGTCCAAGCATTCTAGCAATTGCCAAGAAGACTGTATGGATGCATCCACATAGGGGCCTGGATTTGAACTTCACTCAAGAGTGTCTTTACCTAATCTCAGATCACAAAAGATTATAAAAATGAGTGCCAGTATTTAAATTTGTGCTCAGAAACGGACCAACAGCCAGCACAATTATTTAAGAATTCTAAAAAGTTTCCAATGAGTGCTCAGGGGAAGATAGGGAATCATGCCAAAGTACTAAGTATGCATTCATGTTCACAAATCTGTTTGGGCTGGATTATGGTATTCTGTAGATTAAAGCCATGGACCTCTTAAGCACCTCTGCAACGTAATTATTACAGTCCATATAGCACTTCCTGCTTCTTCCTCTTTCCTACATTAAAGGAACAAATGTCTTACTTTTAAACTGAGCCAAGATTCATAATGATGCATCGGAAATATGGATTCTCCCCATACTATTTAAGAAATCATCTCTTTACAAAACAAAGCCACACCTTCCTATGAAGCAGTGCCAGATGATATAAATTATTGCTGCATTAAACAGCAGGAAGAGGGTGGTAACTGAATATGTAACTGAAATTGCCAACACATACAGATTTAATAGTGTAAGAACTCATCTAAACAGCCTGATTTCCACAGCATGAAGACACCCCACTTACTGTTTGCCAAGAACATGTCCTCATAACAAAGCCTGCATCTCATAAGCAACTCATGACTTTAGGCAGTATAAAGCTGGTACAAGGTGTACTGACACAAACGTGGTATTTTCCCAGTTAATGTAGTAGAAGACCTGCCATGTGGACATTCTAAGTCACATGGAAGAGTTGTCTTGGGTGGTTGGCCATCTGCTGGACTCCAACTGGCCCATACTAGGATTGTCTACACCCATCCAGCTCCTGGATGCTAGTCCTTCATAACAAATTTTGCTGCAGCTGCCGTACAATCTTCTGCTGTTGCTCTATGATCTGAGAAGCAGAAACTTCTACCAGAAGAAATGCCTTGTAGCCACTGTGTATAGACAAAGTTCTAGAAGGCAACAGCTACTAAATGCCAGATCCTGCATTCCTCAGCTCTTCTAGCCTGCAAAAAAGCAGCCTTAGAACTTGGAGATTCCAAAGACTTGAGTACCGAACAATCTTTAGTTACTGCTCTGGCAGTGACACGAAAGTGTCCCCCACTGAGTCCACAGGATTCCCTGTCCCAAGACTGGAATCTCAGTGGAAAATACTAGCCAAGCTAAGCCAAGCCAAACCTGTTATTCCCCCTTGCCTTGAAAAAAACCAGGATGGGTAACACAGACATTATCAATTTCTTGAAGGTCCAATTTAAATGCAAGCCTGAGTTCAAGAGCTAGGATCAATTTTGCTCGAACTAGTTCCCCAAATGAGAGACAGCTTGGTGTAGTGGTTAAGGCACTGAGCTACATCCTGGGAGACTG